GTTTCTTTATCCATTCACTCACTGATGGACACTTAGGTTGCTTCTACGTTTTGGCTATTGCGAATAATGCTGCAATGAACATAGGAGTGCAGATAGATATCTTTACGAGGTGGTGATTTCATTTCCTTAGGGTATATGTCCAGAAGAAGGATTACTGGGTCATATGGATAGTAGTTCTATTTTTAATTTTTTTAGAAATCTCCATATTGTTTTCCATAAAGGCTGTACCAATTTACATTCCTACCCACAGTGTATGTGAGTTCCCTGTTCTCCATACCCTCACTGACATTTGTTATCTATCTTTTGACTTTTTGATAATAGCTATCCTAATAGGTGTGAAGTAATAGCTCATTGTGGTTTTGACTTGCGTTTCCCTGATGATTAATGATGTTTCACATACTTATTAATGATTTTTATGTCTTTTTTTGAGAACTGTCTATTCAGGTCTTTTTCCCATTTTTTTTTAAATTAGGTTATTTCTTTTTACACTATTGAGTTGTATGTGTACCTTATAAACTTTGGATATTAAGATCCTATCATATATATGGTTTGCAAATACTTTTTTGCCCGATTTGTAGGCTGCCATTTCATTTTGTTGATTGTTTCTTTTCCTATACAGAAACTGTTTAGTTTGAAATAGGTTCCATCATTTTATTTTGGCTTCTGTGGCCTGAGCTTTTTGGTTTGATAACCAAAACATCAGTACCAAGGCCAATGTCCAGAACCTTTCCCCCTATGTTTTCTTCTAGAAGTTTTATATTTTCTGGTCTTAAATTTAGGTCTTTTATCCATTTGAGTTGATTTTTATGTGTGGAGTAAGATAAGGGTCCAATTTTATTCTTTTGCATATGGAAATCCAGTTTTTCCAGCACCTTTTATTGAAGAAACTATCCTTTCTCCATTGTGTCCTCTTGGTGCTCTTGTCAAAAATTAGTTAATAGTATATATTTAGATTTATTTCTGGGCTATTTATTCTGTTACACTGTTCTGTGTGCCTGTGATTATGCCATTACCCTGCTGTTTTTATTACTGCGCTTTGTAACCCTTCTTTCAGTTTAGATAGCCATCATCCTCTTCTAAGAACTCATATCTTATTCTTAGAATTCTGCAAGTGCTTTCTCTCCAATGTCCCTGGAGTCTGTTTTCAGCTTTAGTCTAGCTGTACATGCTAAAACAGCAGTCCCCAACCTTTTTGGCATGAGGGACTGGTTTCATGGAAGACATTTTTTTCCATGGACCAGGGAGCAGGTGAGGATGGTTTCAGGATGATTCCAGTGCATTACATTTATTGTGCACTTTATTTCTATTATTATTACATTATAATATAGA